CCCGCCTGCGCTGTGGGGTTTACTGTCCTAGCCGGTACACGTACGTGTGTTGGAAGGGTTGCGTTTTAACTACATTGATAACGTGATCATGGTTTTTAAGAACCTCTCTGAATATCATCTGCATGGATAAGTCTGAACTTTCAAAGTTGAAAGGTAAAAGAGTTGAGAGCTTACCATTAAAAAAAAAAAAAAAAAAAAAGCCCTTTTTAATGTTTCAGATCAAGCACCTTTTTGAAAGTGCAAATGTTGCCTTTCCCAAACCAAAAAACCCCAAGCCCCTTAACAGACCAGCTTCTATTTGCATGGTGAATTGTAAGCAGCAGATGCTGGTGTGGCATGGTGTTAGGAACGCTGCAATTTCGGCATCTGAAGCCACTTAAGAGTCTTGGTAATCTTTTACTCAAAAAGAAAAACCCTCTAACCCTTTATTTAATGCTAGTGGATTCCCTTGTTCTGTAAAAGGTTTTCTGCAGCTCTGCAACTTAGTCTTGGATTTCGGTAATTAATGACTAGGACTGATCATCACAACCCTTTCACAGGTAAAATCAAAATTTGGAAAAGACAAGACTGATATTAACATCTATTCAACACATTAATGTTGGATTAATTCAGTTATTGCAGGAATTTAGTGACAGCAATAATTAAGGAATTGTTAGTTAAAAAGGTAACCAATACTGTAATTAAGAGAATTTTTAATTCCATTCAAACAGCTAAAAAACTGCAGGAATGTTGTAAGGTCAGTTGCACAAATAAGCAGATTTGGCGAGCCAGAGGACACGCTCAGTGGAAGGTTCTTCCACTTCTTTTCTTTGCTTCCAACTCCCTTTCCCTGTTTCTCCAAACCAGTCCTTTTTCTAACATCAGCAGGTTAATGGCCTCCTCATACTTACATGAATTCTTATTTTGGGACAACTTTATTTGTGATAGTGGCTATACTTAATTCTCAGTCTTCCAAAGAAGAGCACAATTAACTCTGAAAGGAGGATTTATCTGAAGGTATTCCTACTCCACCTTTTGTTCTTGCTGCTGGTTCACAGCTGTCAATATTCTTTTATAAACTTTTTCTGTCCATCTCCATTTTGTTAAAAGCTATTTCTCCTTTCTACCCAGAAGATGTTCGGAGTACAAACTCCAAACTTGGTCTCCTGCAAAGATGTAGGAGGTTTTGCTCAAGTATGTGATCTTGCTGTACCTTTCTGTTGTTGGAGGAATACACTGCAGCCCTGTTCAGACAATTTGTTGCGCTACTGCATCTTCTGTGGCATGTGCAGAGTTTGTCCCTCCGCACTAGTTGCTCTCTTGTTCATGCAGTTCTCATAAATGCTGCAAACCCTGAACTAAATTAAAATTGGGATCATCTTGTAAAAGTAGATTTGGTTTCTTCCGGACCAATTATTAAAGCTTTGAAACAGGACAGATTGCTGGAAGTATTTGGCTCGCTTCCTCCACTGATACATATCGAAGCAAACATACATTTAAATTACCTTACATCCTTGGATTTTTAGTGCCCCTCTCCAAAGGCATTAATCTCCCATGATCAATGAGGGATTTTTGCTGACTGTTGTCTAACCCCTTATAGCACAGTGGTAGACTTCAGGACTGTGGGTAAGGCACAATCTGTGGAGTCATCTTGCTGTCAGGTGCTCCTACCCTGCAGAGAGCTGCAAAAAGATGTTTGCTGAATCACCCTGGCTCAATTTAAACACCTAGCCTAGCATACAAGAGAGCTTGGACAACCAAAACTGAGAGAAGGCATTATGGCAGAGCTGCTGAACAGATGCACTGGACACTGGAAAGAAAGCTTAGGCTGAGATCTAACTGGCATTAAAATGTCTCTGTCTTCTGCCCTTGGGTGGATATTAATGGAAACTGCTCTCACTTAGTGAGATGCCAGACATTCACAGCCTAATTTGAGAGAGAAGACTTAGTTCATCAATGACTTTTTCTGGAGGGGAAGGAAGAACTTTGATCATTGCTAAGTGGAGTCTTGGTACTAAATAGCCAATGTGCTTCTTAGTTCATTTGTTCTGTCTCAGGAAACATGTTAAGTACAATGCATGTGGTAGCGTCCTGTACAGAAATCGCCCTGTGAAATCACAGGAGTAAAAATTCCTTTCCATATTTGTGTTGCAGAATTTGTGTAATTAGAGGGAGCTAAAGTTGGTCCAACAACTACCACCACCTGAAAATGTTAGCTTAAAATGTAGAAAAAGGAGCTGAAAGTATGTGCGCTATGTGGCAGAGATTTGCTTATTTGCACATTTGAAATGCATCAGTGGTTTCCTGGAACAGTGGACAGCAAATACAAACATTAGGATAAAGAAGTCAAAGAGAGTAGCATAAATGTAATTAGGCACTCATTAGTTTAAAGTCTTTGAAAAAGATTGGTGGCAACAAGACCAGACTGAAAAATTCACAGATTTTTCTACCAGTATCTGAACAAACTGAGTGAGGGAGGAATTTGTTCTCTTTGGTGGAGCAGTATTCACATTTGATGTTAACGTCAACGTTCACATTAAAAAGGCTGAAAGGCACACTCTGAGCAAAAGACAGAAACAAAATTTGCTGCTGCCAAGTTTGGCCTTCAGCCAAGGTTGCAATTAAAAACAGAAACACTACGCTTTTACCTTGCCTTGCCATCTCTGAATAAATTCTGATAGGTAGGAAATAAAAAGCTCCGTGTTGTACAGACTAACACAAGGTCTGTGTTCCAGAAAATTAAAATACTAAAAAATTCTGAGATTTTGCTATGGGGATTTTAATTTTCATAATGCTTAGAGAATCACATTGCAGACTGGCTTCCCTGAGTGTGTGCATGCATACATGCACATTTTAAAATAATAAAAAAATTAAAATACCGAGGACTCTGTCCTCTCCCTTTGCCTTAGTGAGAGAGACTGGTGGCTGAATGCGGACCATAGCTGTTGCATTCTCTTCTCCTGTTTGCCAGGTCACTCTCACTAGGCAAGCACAGGGGAATTCACTTCAGTGCCACCTTGATGGATTGCCAGGGAATAGGTATTGTGATGTGCGTTTCATTGATTGCATGGACCAATAGGCACACCTTCACCAAAAAAGTAATCTTAAACAGTGTGCATCCAAGCCTGTCTGCAGTGTTCTTCGTTTGCTAGCCTGTTTTCCTTCATCGGGACTCTATGCATACTGTTATTTTTTTGCTAAGTTGTGGCTGCGGAGAGGATAAAAGTAACTGATCTGCAGTAGCTCTGCAGCCTGTTTTTTGTTACAAATTCTAGGAGACCCTTTGCCAAGGTCATTGTTTTTATTATCCTGCTGCTTTTGGAAAAAAAAGAATCTCAAAATACAATTTTATTTTACTCTTGATTTTATTTAGTTTACTCTCATTTTATTTGGAGAGAATGAAATAACTTCCTGTTTGTGTATCAAGGTAAAATATTTTAGTAGCTTCTTTACGCCAATTTGTGTGCTTTTTAAAAAAAAAACCCAAAACTTAGGCCTGACAACTAACTCACAGATGCTTCATGAAGCAGACATTTTCCTTGCTGACAAGGCTATCTTCCAAGGACAGCCAAAACAGATAGGAAGAGAAAATTGTAGCTGGAAGATCAGTTCCAGTATGGGAAGAAAAGTTCAAGTACGGGAAGGTTTGAAGGGCTTTATTGCTGGAGGAGTCAAGTGACAAGCTTGCTTGAAGAAGGCAACTTTGAAAATGCATGGAGTAGATAGCAAAGCACTAGAAAAAGCAGGGGAGAATATGTAGCTGTGTGGAAGAACAATGATCACCCAAGACACAAGGTGAGCTGAAGAGAAGAGGATTTCAAAGGCTCTGATCCTTACGATGTCTATGAAAAGAATCCTTTTGCTTTTAGGACACTTTCGATAATGTTCAAAGATAATTCAAAGACAGGAATGCTGTTTCTGCTGTAGCAGAAGAGAAAGATGACTTTAGCAGCACTGATGTTTGAGATACGGATTTTTTTTGAATCATCTTGGTTTAAAACAAATTGACAATCAGACAAAACACAGAAATGGCAAGCATGAGCTAAATAATTTTGGAGGTAGAGCAAGACCTTAATGGGGCAGTGAGTACAGCAGAGGCCCTCATCTGACATGACTAAATACCAATTTAAAAAAAAATACTGAGCAAGGAAGCAGTGTGTACATGTGGGAAGCATACAGAAAAAGCGGAACATAACCTTTCGAGAATGTGAGTCTCAAATGCTCCTAAGATCTATGGAAGGAGAGTCCTCCCAGAACAAAATGAAGCATTTGGGAATGGAAAAGGGCATTTTAAAAAACTTGTACACTGATATAGTAGATAAGCCATGGAATTGAATGAGGCTCTACTAAAAACAGGAGGGGAAAAAAACACAGGAGGGGGAAAAAACAGAGGGGAAAAAATGGGGTGGGGGGCAGAAAGCCAAGATGTTATCATGAAGATGTTATCATGAAGATGTCATAAATAAACTAGGACAGCAATCCTGGATACAGATTAACAGTGTCTTCTCCACAGTTAAATATGAACTAGCTTTTTAAGCAAGTGCTAACTGATCACCAAAAAAGAATTTCTGTAAGCAAATTACTGGTTACTATTTGACATTAAGTAGTAACTTCAGAAGCAGTTCTTGTTCAGGAAAGTAGTTAAGGCAGTGAAGTCTATGAAATGATGCAGGTCTAGGATTCCTAGTAAAGTTGGCAGAACTAGCCCTGGACAGTCTGTCTAGGACTGCAGGGAGTTTGGAATTGGAGAACCTTATCTGGCTGAGAAGCAGCATGTTGTGACTGGAGGCTGCACACATCCCATCCCTTCGTGAATATCCTCAGTGCACATGTCTTGGGGGAGCATGCTGGGAAGAAAACTATGAGCTGATAATGTTGAAGGGGGTTAAAATCTAGAATGGTGTAAAAATGCAACTGATCCTCTTCACAGACCAAAGGATGGAGAAGTTGTCCTCGTGGCTGTGGGTGGCTGTTTGAAATACCACTTACAGTTGAAACATGCATTTATACAATCAATTAGAAATCAGTAGAATAATCAAATAGTGAATGCAAAATGAATTAAGTTAGTAAGAGCAAGCTAAAGGAAAAGCTCTGTAAACCACATTTTAAAAAATGGTTGTGGAATAAAGATAACATCTATATTCTTCCCACTATACAAAGGTCACCTACGACTTGTACTTTACAACAGATTTTATTTTCTGCATACAAGATGTATGTGCTTTACTGACCTTAACATTACGCATGTTTTCAAAGGCAAACACAGACAAACTAGAAAAAAACCTATTAGACTTTTCTGTTACTCCAAATGTTCATTCTTCAGAAGGAGGAATATAAATATAAAGCATATAAATATAAAGATAAAGCAAAGATGTTTTAACTCTTAATTAAGGAACATAGACTAATGGTTATAGCATGAACCTAAGAGTTGAGAGAAGAGAGGTGTCACAGTATGACCTTCTGCAAGTCAGCCTGAGGCTTAAGAATACTTGAATATAGTTCTGCATATCGGACACTTAGCTGTTATATGCAGTTGTGAATTAGGTGAGATATTTTTTAGGATTTCATGAAGTAGGTAATGCCAAGGAAATGTGTTATTAGGCAACAGAGAACTGTCCTTGCAGACATAATGTGACCATACTATACCAGAAAGGTTATCAACTCAGTGTTAAATTGTCATGTTAAAAACATCAGTCTTGAATAACAAGCAATTTATAGCTGAATTTCTTAATTGCAAACCAATCCACAAACTGTATCTCAGTAAGAAACTTTCTGTTAATTCCCCTTGGCTCTGAACAGGTAATTAGGTACTTTGACAGCACTCCTGTTTCCTTGGAGGGGTAGCTCCAAGAACACACCATCCTTCATGTCTTTCCCACCTGTTTGTTCAATGCAGGTGCATTTGCCTTGTACTTACCCACTTGATTGCAGCTGCAGGTTGAGTAAAGATGATGATCTCTTCCCTTTTGCAACAAAGGGACTGTTCGCTTCTACTATGCAAAGTGTTCTGAGTATACTTATGAGAGAGTTCAATACCAGCAGTTAGAGTAAGTATCATAGTGGAACTACCCAGTTTTTCCTGCTTATGTAAAGATACTAAAGTCATCTGGAAAATACTGTTCTTGCTGTGGGACAAATTACTCAGCTCCCATTTAGTAGTAAATTTTGCTGACTGTGACATATTCCAGAATGCAAGCCAGAGTGGGTTTTAGATAGAGATCAGTATGCAGGACAAATTAACCAAAGCCTGGACAGCTATAATAAACAAGAATTCTTACATGGATTTGCTGACTGAGCAGCACCTTCCCAAATAGAACTGGCAACCATTCAACCTGCTACTGTTGTTGCAAAGAAACTTCTTACAGGTTGGCTTTTTTTAAGAATGGATTTTTATTGACTTTCCAGATGACATTATTAATCCACGTAAACAGGATTTTTACTTTGCACATAATAGAAAGTGTAAACAGGAATTTGAGCATCGGTATATGCTCACTTCTTCAACAGTGACCCAGCACTCGCCTTCTAAGAAAAGTTCTGTTGTTTTCAATTTGCACTTCCATTCTGAACCATTTGTAGATACTCCTTGTATAGCTTTTCTTGGGTTTCATACAGTTTCTTTAGCTTCTTAATTTGTCCTTTGCTGAGTTCTTTGCCTTCTGTATCATGGGTGGGAAATCCCTGAAATATTAAAAAAAAAAAAAATAAAAAGTATTTCAGATAAATTCTTGGACTGCTTTTGCTCCTTATGGAATCATGTTTTAATAAGGTAGGGAGATAATGTCATAATGACAAGCTGTCAGAGTGAGGTGCATCTTGGCTAATTTTAGTCACCTAGAAATTTGACAACTTTGACTATCTGTCTTATGTTCCCTTCCTAGTTAATGAAGGGGCAAAGGGTGTACTTATTTTCTGTCCTGTACAAAGTAAGGGAAGCTTAGGCAATTAACTTCTAGATAGTTATAGTTAAGAGAATAGTGACTAATCCCTGAGCTGATGGTTAAGAGACCACTTTTAATCATACTAGCATATTGAATCCAAGGCTTAAAGCAAAAGCAGCAAGTGATTTGTGTACCCAATGGAGAAGTATGATCAGAGTTTTTATGGAGGTTCCCCTTGCCTTGCAGGGGTATTTTCCAGTATTTACACTCTCCATTCTTACTTGCCCCCAGGGTCTGAATTTGTGTGGGTGAAGAGGACGGGCAGAAGCAGGATCAGCATCCCAGACCAAGGGCGGAAGAAAGAGTGCTTTATGTTTTCCAAGTAACACCCTTTATCCTCAAGGGGAGCAATCAAGAGCAAAGTTACCTATACAGTCCCTTCAGAGATCCTTTGCCAGGAGAGAGCAAAACAGTGGGCAAAGCGAAAAAGGAAGCACAGGACCTCTCTGAAAAACATGAGTACTGGCAGAGTTGGGGAGTTTGTATGTGCAAGTGAATTCCTTGCCTTGCAACAGGGTAATAAACATTATACATGTTCCTACCCAAAATATCTAAAGGGGATTTTGCTCTGCAATGAGATGGGCCAAAGGTGACCAATGTACCATGAAAATACCCTTGAAATGATGGTTAACAGTTAGAGAACCTTGCTCCCCAATGCAATATGTATATGCGATAAAACTAATATATTGTCTTTTCTTTCTCTCCTTCCCTCCTCCCATTATGTTAATAGCATTGCCCTGGAGGTTTTGCAGCAAGATCAGCTACGTACACATACAATTAAGTATGTACAATTGGGGAAGAAAAACCACTCCCTATCTAAAGAAAAATCTCTTACGTTTTCATCAAACGTGGAATATTTGTCACGTTCTGATTTAAACATTTCATGTGGTGGAATCTTCATTTTTGCCAGTTTTGCTGCCTGTAATATAAAACATGCATTAACTCCATTAGCATCACAGTGACAACCTCTCACATATGCAAAAGGAAAAGTAGACTATAATGTGCAAATCAAAGAGCATTTAATTTACAATTGTTTATCATGTGAAAAGAAACTTTCAGTGAGGAACAACTCAGTAAGTCTTACGTCTTTTCCCGCTGACAAGCACAGGTTTCTATGCAAGGTCACAGCAGGATCAGGATGCAAGTAATTGCACTGAAAATAAACTGAACTTTCACGTATCTGTAAACAAGCACATCTCTGAATCCTCTCCATTTTATTTATGCCCAATGCAAGGGAATCGCCTTTTTGAAAGAATGCAAAAGGCTACTTGGAATTTGTGTATGATAAATACTTTTTATCTGCTTTTCTCTCTGTACGCGGTGCTCTCTAAAAGCTTACTTCCTCTTTTTAGGAATGCCATTTCCTCTACTGTGAGAGTCATCAGCATGGCAAGCAATCTTTTCTTCTCATGAGTTTATTTCCTCTGGCTGTCTACTCCTCGTCCAAAGCCTAAAACCTTTGAACTATGCCAATTCCAACTGTAGAGATAAAATGTGTTTTTACAAAACACTACATTTCAGAGTTCAATCATAGGGAACAGGTCGATTCTTAAAGAGAAAAAAATCCCGTTTTCACACATACCTAGAACACTGAAAAGGGAAGAAAATGATGACAGAAGCAAAGTTGTCTCTAACAGGCATGTAAGATACTACTTTGGCAATTAAGGAAGTAATACTGTCTATAGACTGAAATATGTGCCACAAGATCTTCTAAGAAGCTTTTGCAGCTTTTACTTGTGTTTTCAAAGATGGCTTCTCTATAATAGGAGCTGAATATTCAAATCTGAACTGCAAGCCAAAGTCACTCTGAGCAGGAAATTGTAGACAAAAAAAATAAATGGAAGCCCAGTTAAAGCTGGGCAGAGAGCCTGTGTTCTAATGTAATCTTTCCTGCACATGACTATTGCCGCTAACACTTTTCTTCAAAACCAGATTAAAAGGATCTGAACACTTACTTCCTGCTCTTGTTTTTTCCTGGCTGCTTCTTCTTTCTTCCTTTTTTTCTCTTCTTCAATCTATGAAAGGCAATGTTAATGAGTAAAAGGTAACTTACTTCATTTGCTTGTTTTCTAAAAATCTGAGCCAGCTAGCTCCCCTGGATATCTAATTACAGACAGAACTGGCAGCATGACCTGCAGCAAAACCACCATGCCATATAATTAGGATTGTCTGATACTTCCCACTGTACAACTTTGATTTCATTTGCTTTTATTCACAGTTAAACCAGTTTTAACTGTTCAGAATGCTTTTTGCATGCAAAGTGTATACATATGAAAGAATACCTACAAAGCCTGCAGCAAAAGAAATGGTCCTGCTATTTCACAGGGAAAAAATTGCAAATTACTTTAAATTAAGACCATATTTTGCTGATATTTTAAGCTCTTGCCTCAAACTGTGAAGACATTAGTTTCTCAAGAAGCAGTTGTATCCCTTGATGTTCCTAGGGAAACAACTATCCAAATTTAGCCAACTTATAAAATTTAAAAAAAAAAAAAAAAAAAAAAAATCTCATCTTGCACTTGCTTAGGAGAGACCTAAAAGTTCTCAAAGGGTTCTGCCAGTTCTGAACATAATACTGTTTCCAGAGAAAATGTACTCTAGCTGCAGCTATATACAAACTGTCTTCAAATGTCTTTTTGATTAAAACACCTGGAATTGGCTGCAACTACATTTTACTTCTCCCTTTTCTAAAAAAACATCTACAAGGAAGGAGAAATGCCAGAAAGTCTTCCAAACATTTCTAGTTGTGATGGAATTTTATTATTTGTTAAAACTGAAGACAGACATACGAAGAGTTACTTCAGATGTTACGAAGTCAAATATTAATGATAGGAAGTGCCAGAAGGAGGGTTTCTGTACAGACTTTGTGCATGTGAATTAGGATTCACAATCTTTATATAGTAACATATGAATTCTTGCCCCCACACCCTGAATATCTCACTCATCCATACTACGTTAATTAACATTTAGCAGTGCATTTTGTTCTCACATCTCAGATAAATACAGTCTAGTTCTATGGAAAATGTCAACTTCATTTGTACAGACAAAAGAAGTCCAAATTAGCTTCTCATTGGAATCTAAGACAGTACACATGCAATACTCAACATCTCTTAATTACATGAATATCTTAAAAAACAAACAAACAAAAAACCTTAGAGGTATTAATTCTCTTATTTTCCTTGTTGCTAGTCAGTTAAGATTTTTCTTACAAGTTATCTTATCAAAGAAATGTAAAAGTATCCACAGTTTACACGGTACTTTAAAAAATATTGAATGCTTAAAATAATAACCTTTTTCTTTTCTTCTCTTTCTTTCAATAATGTGTCCTTATCCACTAATTTAATCACAGTTGGAAGTCCTAAAGAAGCAAAAACAGATGAATGAGTTTCTGATGCTTGAATGGTCAAAGATAAGTGTATTTACTCTATGATAACTGTTTTCTTTTTGCAAGCTGAATGCAAATACAACTGAGTAACTACTCAAAAGTGACTAAGAAATTAGGTGCTATACAAAAAGATCAAAAAGACTGCAATATACAGTTTTAGATTCTATACATATATTCCAATATACAGTTCTGTAATATATATTCATACATCAGAAATACGGTATGTTATAGCTTTGCAGTCCCTGAGTTTGTTGGATTATTTCAGATTATTCTTGCCAGGTTGTTTTCCCAATTCTTATGAAAACAGTAAGATTATAAAGCCAGGTACCTACAAAGTTGCAAGACATATAATTGTGTACCTTCATGATCTTCAAATCGAACACCGAGTTCAGGAAGAATGTCATCTCGAAGAGCATCACTCAGCTGCAGCACTTCAGTTACTGCAGAGCATGAAAAATACTTTTTGTGAAGTAAGATTTGGTAAAAGTATACTTTTAAAAGTATCCTGCTACATAGTTATTTAAATGCAATTAAGATACTGCTGCTCTCTCACACAGGCCAGAGAAAGGTCTTTTGTTTTAAAGTGATAACCTTTTAAGTAAGTTCTGCCCTCTTTCAACTATACAGAGAAGCAGCATGTTTCTTTGCAGGGGCTTGAAATGCATAAATTTCTTCCAAGATACCCTCATTGTTCCTGAACGGGAACAGAAAGAAAATCAAGGCAATTCAGGAATGATGCAACAATTCTGCCAGGGTACAGTGGAAGGGGTGTATGACTCAAGAAGATCCTAATGGTTGCTGTAGGATTTCCAACAGGAAGGGTTAAGAACCCTATTTTAGAAAAATCATATTAACATTAACATATCCTGTGCTACATCTAGCAGTGCCTTTGAAGGACTATGATTTTGTTGTTTTGGTAACACATTTGTCAGAGCAGCTGTAATCCAAACATCCTTTGTTTCTACAGATAGTTATCTTCATCACCTAGTCTGACCAAGCTGTTTTTTTCAAGCAAGCCACTTGCAGCAGAACAGAGAATTTTGATTTGGCTTTCTGGATCGTGACGCCACGACTAACATTTTTTTTTCCCCTTGCAAACTTATCAGCCTGTGATGACAGTAAAGGATTAAGAACTCGGGATTTATCTGAAATAGATGCTATCAAGTCTTAAGAGGAAAATAAACTTCATAGAAGATATTTATTTGGATGAGAAATTGTATCAGCCAAGAAGCAGCAGAACAGTTAAGAGGAACTGCATCAAGTAGACTCAGTGTGTTGCTGTTGTGAACTTAATTCAGTGGCGTTTTTTATAGTCAGTCTTGTTTTTATGAGGAAAACCTTACCAAGTGTGAAAAGATAGATACTTGGATTAGATGATACCATGTGCTTATAATAAGCAAGCGTTCTCCCTTTCAGCAACTCTCAGCTGGTTAAATGTAAGAAGTAACAGGGGTTTCAAAGGTAACAGGCAGTAGAAGCTACCATCCAGACACTGTACTAAATATTGCTCATACCAGTAGACACAAGTACCATCCCTGAGTCTTCATCTTACCATCCCTGAGTCTTCATCTCTTTCATGATTCTCAGAGAGCTGAACAGTGAACAGAGCACCAACTATCCTAATCCCAGAAAAAGGAACAGCCTCCCTATTTAATTGCACAGTAGTGTCCTGCAACTCTCTCTTTGTATAGGAAAGCACTGCATTTTATAGAAGCTCGTTTGTCTGACGTGAACTAAGTTGTTATTTTTCTTGATCCACAGCAGTTATACACAGTGAACCACATTCATCTTTGATGCAACTCTAAAGAAGCCATTTAGGATAAATAAGGGATAAGATTACCTCACTGGCTGTTAACACTAAAAGTGTTGACTCTAACCTAGGCAAAGGAATTACACGTCATATCAAGAATGTATCAGATACACCCTATGCTTATTCAATACACCAGTGTCTGCTCAGTTATAAATATTTACTTATCTGAAAGCATGAATAATTGAAAGTTTACAAAGAAGAAATCCATCAAGGTAGAGAGTAATGAGAAATGTATAACAAAACATGTATTATTTATGAAAGGACACATCCTCTGATCAATCCTTTGTCATCCAGAGGAGTCTGCACCATGCTTCTTAGGGCTGAAATGTGCCTGTTCTTTGCATGTGGCACCTCCAGAGCAAGAGATGTTTATGGATTGGGTAGGGGTTTTTTTATGGTCTGCTCCAAGACAGAAGCCTTCATCCTCACTGAGGACAGTGATCAGGAAACCAGTGGGACAGTACCTTATCACCAGTGCCCATGAACACCCTGGCAGCTAGGCACTCCTTGAGCCTGTGACTATTTCCCAGACCTTTTTTCACATTTTCTGTGAATTTCAAGCCAAAGAGTCTCGGATGTGAAACAGATGTTGTGCTGTTGTGAATGGGAACACTGTGATGGGGAAGAAAAGGAGGAGCTTAAAAAGCATCTTGAGAATGCTGGATGTTAAGACTGGCAGCAAAACACAAGAGCAGGCATGGTTACAATGAACAATTTTGTCCCAATTCTGGTCAACCCATGATACATTAGGAAAGGGGCAGAGGGTTTCCCACTGTATCCTAGTAGCAGCTTAGAACAAGATACCACATGGCACCAGCACCCGTGGCAGGAAGTGAAGATGCCGGCAGAGTTCAGTCACGGACACCTTTACCACAGGGTAGTCAATTTAAGCAGGTGTCCTGAGGCAAGTAACCAACAGCAACTCAAGAGACTTGCTCCTTTTGAACATCTGAATAACAATTTGTTACTGATGAAAATTCTTCCCAAGCATCGGGAGCTGTACTAGAGCACAGAACTGCTCCACTGTACATCCTTGCAGAGACAACTATATGGGGTCTTTGCAGTTGGTCAAGTATTCAAGTAAAATGTCAGGATGAGCAATACAGAGATGCTCCGATCAACAAATCATTGGTATCTTTTGCAGAGGTTTTCTACATTTCTTTCCCTTGTACAGCTAGCACAGTGTTTTCCTTCTTCTGTTTACCATCATTGCCAGATAAGTTCATAAATTAAGCCAAGACTCAACTGAAAATGATCAGTGCAGGTTCCAGTTTGCATAGTAATAAGCTTATAAAATAGAGAATTAATATTATTAATATGTTTGAATGTTAGCCATTCTGGATGATGGTAAAATTTTTGTATAGTATATACATTTTGATTCCTACCAAACCCCAAAGTTTTACAAATGGCTATTCTGTGAAATGTTTTGTAAATATAATTTTTAAAAGTGGTATGTATTGGATGGGGACATTTGTATGACTCTGCAGGTTTTACAGAAGAAGTTTAAAAGTGGTATGTATTGGATGGGGACATTTGTCTGCAGGTTTTACAGAAGAAGCATACTTTTTATTTAACCTCTAAGAATACTTAGAGCAATATAGATTGTGTTAATTAATATTTAACGCCATCCTGCTGGCACTGGGCTATGATGGGGAAACTCCCTTCACTTACAACCATGTAGAGGCAATATCCCCAGCCATTAATCAGAACAGCTTTCACAGTAATTTAACACTTCTTGCAAGCAAGAATTTAATGGGTACAGGGAAACAAATCAGTAGTATGTCAGTGCAGGTCCTGCCAACCACCACCCAGCTTCCATATATCAAACAGTCTAATGAAAGGTGCCTCCCCGGTCAAACTGCAGAGTGCTCTGTACCCCAACCAAATAGCAACTAGATCCAGCTTTATTCTTACTGCCCAATTTATTTGAGGCAAAAAATCAATACCTTCCAACTAAGAAACTGCCAGTAAGCAGCCTAGCACTAAGTATGTTCTAAAAATGTTCTACAAGAAGCCCCGTGATATTTAAACCTTACCACTGTTAAGAGTGAGGATCAGTTTAGCTCAACTATCAGAGGGCAAGGAAAAAAGAAGCCTCATATAAAATGAGTATTTATGTTAAATATTGAAAGACCAAAAGTCACTTTTTTGGCTGAGGATATACATACAAACTTCTTGAATTAATTCAAATTACAGAAAATATTTGCTGTTGGAACTACTAACCTTATCTCTCAACATCAGTTATGCCTACAGGAGTTTGACAGTAATAGCTGACGAGTCACGTTAACAAATAGAGTTTTGTGCTTTTAAGGTAGACCTATTAGCCCTTAGAAGAACTCAAAATAGCAGCAGAATTAGGGTTCAGATTCTTTGCCAGCTGAATAGGTTATCAACCAGACACTACAAGTGATTTTATATTTGTGTATAATATATGGGTTATTTATCTATGTATTATATATAAAAAATGCCCTATTTTGCCTTCAAGTACAAACCTCAGTGTAAAAAAGTTTTAAGAAAACAAGAATCAAATACACATTGAAGACATGTAAAATTCCAGAGGGAACAGCACAAAATAGTAAGAGCTCCATTAGGAACTAATCAACCAGTAAAATCAAAGAGGGCTTAATGGAACAACCTTTTTAACACTATATAGTTCTGCTGCCAACACACATAGCATGATCAAAGCTTTTCAGAGGGAAAAAAAAAAAGCATCCAGAACAACTTCTAGCAACCTCCCAAATGAATTCTCCAAAGAGAGCACTCAGTTAACATCGGGGAGCTACAATTCCAAATATGTAACAAATAAGAATGAACATCTTGGGCTATTCAAGCACAGACAGTATCATCTACATTTTTAAGAGAATGCAAGCTCCCTGGGTGAACAGATCACAGGTACCTTCATACCTAGAAAGCAGGGAATGTCCTGATCTAGAGAAACAACAGCTAGTCCTCATCATTCCAGAACCTGTAGGTTCTTTAGGAAATTAAAAGAAAGTGAGTTTAGCAGCCTGTAAAAGATTCCCGAATTAAAGACAGGTAGCAGAGATGCAAATATTCAAACCAACTCTGATTTAAAGATGCTTTACATGCATTCTCTAAGCAAAGAGAGACTGTATCAGCAGGTTCACCACCACCCCACCCCAAGTTTTATTCCTGCGACCTCCGAGTCTCATGTGCAACAATACAGGAAAAAGTGACTCTCACCTTTCCTCTCTCTGGCTATTTGTCGCACTCCTCCTCTGAACTCACAAAGAACTTGCAGGTATGGCATCACTGTAGATTCAATCTGCAGGATAATTATTTCTACAGTTAGCTAATCATCATCTAGATATAAAACATGACCTTACCCACTTCATATTTATGTGCTGTTGGATAGAACTTGACCCTCAGGGAAGATCCGTATCAATAAAAATTGTCATTGCTCTATTGATGTCAAAAGATAGACGATAATTTGCATTAGCTGTCAATTTTCCTTTTGTGCAGATAAAATCAACTTGCAAAGCTCTGCCTCTCCCCATTCCTTTTTCATCTCCTTCCAGTTACAGATACATCAGTTCCACAGGATGATGCTACAGTTCAGCTAACTATAAAGCAGTACCAGGATAAAACCAGCACCCAGATGAATTTGCCCCTTCATGTTCTGTGTTGTCTTACTTAGGTCCAACTGCTTGTCAGACATAATACCAGGTGGAAATGATGTTAGGACTTATTTTCATTAGAATGTAGATCTGTTCCTCAGATGTTAGTTTATGCTAATTGTATTTATTTCCAACACAGTGCAGTTATCTGTATTCCTCACACAACTCCCTCCCCCTGCAAAAGTGGGGAGAGATTTCTGGTGAATTATTTCAGGTGTAAGTAAATGCTGGTCATGAAAGCTCAAAGAAAAAGTCCTGAGAATCCTGCTCTCAATAGGAGTGAATAGCAACAGCAAGCTGTTAGTGAACAGCAGTGAACAATTACAGAAACAACTACAGATCAGTGCTGGCTGCCAACACTTCTCTGGAATCCCAAGAGGAGAAGCCAGGCACATGGGAACTGCTTAAGCTAAAAGTTTCATTACTTTGGAGGGTGGGGAAGAGAGAGGAAAAAACCACACACTTTTGTTTCCCCTACAGTTTCCACGTGTCTTTCCCATCTGTTAAATCTCCATGACAAATTTCTGTGCAATTAACAGACAAATATAGTCTGTTATGCTCCAAAAGTGCCCGTATGAAAGGAGCAGGGGGGCTCCATTAAAACTTTACATTAAGTGTGTGTACTGTGCAATCAGCTTCATAACTGTAACCATTGCTGACAAATCTGGCAGAAAGAACAGACTCCGGAAAGTAAGCAACAGTCACATCTCCCCTGCCCCCTCTACACTGAAACTAGCTCAACATGCAAATGAAGTGGTGTCAGGAAAGCATGCACTGTCACTACTTTATCAGTCATTTAAAGATGAAAGATTTTTATTTCCAGAATAACTAACTTGACAGCAACACTTAATTAATTTGGAAAATGAGACTCTGGAACCTGAGGTTTTCTGACTCCAAATCTCTTCTATCCCCTTTCCAGTAAATTCCTGAACCATGGTAATGAAGCTAGTTGTTCTTTCAGAGCTTTTGAAAAGGATTATGCCTTTTTTGGAGATAATTGGTTCCTGCATCTCCAATTTAGACAAAGAAACTGTAGGCCTGACCCACAGCCTTCTGTAATTAATGAGAAGTTTTCCAACCTTGAATGTTCACCTGGTAATTTTTGCTAAGAAAGGTAAGTATCTGCATGGAAGATGGAAAAAGGGTGTAATATTTAATGAAACAGCCAAAACATTTGTGACATTATGCATCTTTATATTCTAATGCTTAAAACCAGTAATGTCCTAGGTGATAAAAACAGAAGTTTCTTGTGTGTAGCAGGTGCTAGCACAAGATTCTTCTGACAAGTGTGCTAACAGGTGTTAGCACAGGATTCTCTCTGCACAAGATTCTTCTGATGCTACTACCCTTAGGGACATTACTTTAAAGGAATGAAAGGGCTTAATTTCTTGTTCCAAGCTATTGCTAATCCTTCCATAAAGCATATCTGTTGTAAAGACTGCCTGAAGTGCTAAATATGAATTTAATTTTCATTTTCCCTAAAAAGGTGTTAAGGTGCTGCCTTTCCTCTGAAATTCAAAACAGTTCTGAGCTAAATTAAAATTCCCTATTGATGGGTTTTGGTACGGAATACTCAGCATCTTCCTTATTATCCTTATTATATCATTACTGGAGATTTCCACAGCACAGTAATGTAAGTATTCGCATGGGCAATTATCAGATGAGCGTTCATTCACATTCTTCAACCACAAGCAAGCTTTCCTCTTCCTTTGATGAATAAAAAGTTTAGTTTTGTTACACCACGAATGTTTTAATTATTCCTTCTAAGGAGGAACAGAAACCCATATTTTTTCTGCATTCAAAGATGTGACCATTCTTGAAAAACATCACTGATTTGTCCATGTCAAATTTTTCACATGAACAAAAAGAGCAAAGTTGATAGCTTTCATATGGAGTTATTTCTCCTGCCTGCACCATGAAACATTGCTGTTATTACAGGGCCCATCAGCACTTTCATCAGGTATCTCCCAAGTATTTCCAGAAAAATTCTGCATCACAGTGGACCTGCTGGGTCACCAAAGCATAACAGCCTTCAAAAGCCAGATAAAAACTGTGGATACAAATGAGATCAGAAAAAGAGATTGAAATGCGGATAAAACTCCAGCTGCCTCCAGGCTGGTTTTTGGTGTACCACAAGGAAGTTTAATCAGTATAATTACATTTTTGAAACTACTTAACATACAAATACTTGTAATGAGTCTTTAGACTGTAGCATGTGTTGTCTGTAGTTAACGTGGTTTCTTAAACAGACTCATCATTCACAAGACAAGATAATTCTTTTTCTGGTTGCTATACAATTTGTCTGTCATTAAGACAAACAAACCTATAAAAAACCCCAACTCTCATAAAAGAAAAATCCTGCTTCCTAAGCCAATTAATTCCTTCAGGTTCAAATGTTAAAAGCGGAAACAATGTAATTCGGCTACATATCAGTAATGTAATCACTTTATCTAACCTAAGCTTTCAAAGGACACAGAGTGATTTTGTACAGCGTACTTTGTCCTTCACTTACATTTATGTTTTGACTATTCCCTCCAACAGGAAAACCAATTGTGTCATCGCTTTCTATGGCACCAAAAATCTGGTCAAGGGAAAAAAAAAAAAAAAAAAGAAAAGAAAAGATTGTATACATCAAGTCACAGATAATTGAAAACTAGGCAAAATCACACATACTAGGATTTTGAAGCCACTGAGTTTTATTTAGGTTTTTAAAACCATTTAATCCACAATTCACTGCTCTACTAAGATGTTTGGGGGTTTAATTGATAAATCATATTAAGCATTGTCTTTCAGATTTAGCTTTAAAGCTGTCAGATTTGACATTCTGACTTCATATTTTTTCTACTGTCCAGTTTTCCTTGCATGTCTCCACTATTCAACAAAACATTAGCTGAAATTACAACATAACATACAGGACTCCAAATTGTTCCTGCTGCAGCACACACTGCAATTTGGGGTTGTTTTGGTTGGGGTGTGTGTGTAAGATCGCTAGTTTCCTACAAGATTTAAATAAAGACTGTACAGATCCCTACATACTTGAAAAATACAACAGTTATAATTGCACACTGCAATAGCAATGTTACTACTTGCTATTACATACCTTTAGCATTTGAGTGAGATAGGAACTGATGTTTTCTAAAAGAAGTCTGTTTGGCATTTGTCTGGAAGATTTCTTTGCAGCAATATAGGAGTTACTCTGACTGACTAACGAACGCATTTCTTCTAAGACAGAGCGAGTGTCAATATTGTCACACAGTGCTTCATGAATTGCTGCCTTCTTGTCGTAAAAACTAAGAAGAAAAAAATTTTTTTACTATTGATGTCAAAAGTATCTGCAACCTACTCTGAAGAACTTCTGTTAGAAGAGTAAGGGGACCTAAAAGTGAGATAATCTTTTGATGGTCACAGTTTATATCTGAAGGAAAAACAGATGAGCGAGAAAAAGGCATCACAATGCTGCTGCTGTTTTGCTGCTACGGACAAAGGCAGGCGGGATAATCTAACTGGCAACAACTATCCAAACAAATTACATCTAACACTTTTTCAGCAATTGACCTTTTCATACCAATTTTTAAAAGCAGTATAAATTACTTATTGAGTACCTTCTTGTGTTTACTAATTTTTTTTTTTAACAGTACTGTTCTCCTATCCCTGCGTACCAGCTGAGTCCTCTGTTTAGTATCTTTCCAGGGAGAAGCACCAATTTGGAAGTTAACTTAGCCCATAGTGAAGAGTTATGAAGCTGTTACAAGCAGATACAAGGAATAAATTAATGTAAACCTTTGTAATGTTCATAAACAGGCATAATAAGTAATACAATGTATTAAGTACCATTTCATCACACAAGGGGTACTACTTGTTCGAACAACATACTTTTTCCAGATAAAAGAAAATGTGAAGTGGTAGAGAAAAGAGACAAAAACAAATATCCACGAAGCATATCTTCTGTTCCTCCCACTCCTTTGTCCCTTCCCTTTGACCTCTCTATTACTTATTATTATCTTCCCCCTTTTTTAAAAAAAAAAATGGTTATCTCTTGATAATGAAATGAAAATGAAATTTTCAGAGGACATCACTAAACAGAAGCATCTGCACTTGGTCCTCCAATAGCCAACATCTGTGTCCACAACAGTGAACTGAACTAGAAACAATTTTAGTACTGCAACACAAGATGCTTCAATTTTAAATTTCACTCATAATAGTATAAGTCACATAGGAAGCTGTTCATATTACAAACAATAATGTAGTTTTGTTATTAAAGTGAAAGACTGCAATACTGTATCACTGTCTCAATTACACATTTTCAAACACTGGCACTCTGATCTTTTAGTCAGGTCATTTAACTTCTGTTTGTCTTGGTTTGCTCACTGCACTTTGAAATGCGTAAAATACTATTTTTCCAGTTGTAACCACTGTGAATTACTGGTCACTTCTCAGATAGAAGGACAGCATTTCAAGTAGTGAAGAAAATGACAGCTATCTAACAAAAAAGTTCTCT